ATTATATTTTATATATCACAAGATTTTGTTTGAAATATCAGGCATGTCACATAATGTAATCAAACCTATTTTTTCTTTAATGATTGATTTTTTCATTATAACCTTACTTTTGGAATAAAAACATAGAACTTTTTTTTACACTTTTTTATGTTTTAATTCTACCGAGGCAGCGAACAAAGGAAGATAGGCCCAAAGTGATGTTGTTTGATTAACAAACTAAAGATGAAATGAAGCAGTTTAGAGATGAAATAGCAGTTAATATTCTATAATGCAGTTAATTAAGCTTAATTGAAGATACTAAATACGGAGTATAATTTTTACAATATGATTATGTTGAAAATGATTGGATTATTTACGTTCATATGCGCAATATTTTACATATTAGAGCCAATAAAAAGTAGATCAAATAAATGAAAGTATAACTTTTGTTTGATGTATTTTAATTATTGGTGACATTATTTGTTATCTGAATTTGTTTTTTACACTTTTTGGGTCGCTTTTTTTTTCAAGATGTAGTTTTCTCTTGGTTTTCATAATGTAGTACTCGCCACCCCATTCCATTATTATATTTTAGATTAAAATATTAATATTTTCCTTATATAAATTTAGATTAAATAAACATTTTATGTAACTATTTTATCCATAGTTTTTTTAAATAGTTTAAAATATTGATGTTGTCTTATTTTATATCTTGTAGATTAATATACAAATAATGGTATTATTCATATTAAAAAATTGAAGAAAAAATAATAATCAGTGTGAATCATAAGAATAGTGAGATGAAAAAATGAAATAATTTATAAACTATAGTTATGAACATAATAGGTGTAATAATAATAATAATAATAATAATAATAATAATAATAATATATCGTTTTTAGAATAATTGGTCGGGAAATAAAAAGAGTTTGAAGAAATTAAAAATAGTTGGAAGAAACTGGAAAAACTGGAAAAAACTGGAAGGAACTGGAAGGACCTGGAAAAAATTAGAAGGAACTGGAAGAACTGTAAAAAACTGAAAGAAACTGGAAAGAACTAGAAGAAACTGGAAAGAACTGGAAGGAACTTTAAGAAACTGGAACTTAAGAGTTCAAGCCCTAAAGAACAGACTCTTAGGGGCTGTTTGGCAATTTCTGAATAGGTAAGTGTTGAACCAGTAAGAGGTCTGAACCATTAAGTGCTGAACCAGTAAGAGGTCTGAACCATTAAGAGCTAGTATATTGTTTAACTATTCAGAGGCAAATGTCTGATCAATTCAGATAAGAGGTCTTAACCATTCAGACTCTGTATAATACTAAACCATTCAGAGGCAAATCTCTTAACCATTCAGACATCTGAACCATTAAGAGGCTGAAACAAACAGTCTAAACCATTAAGTGCCGAATCATTCAGACATCTGAACCATTAAGAGGCTGAAACAAACAGCCCCTTAGTCTCTAATTCTAAGATATTACATATGATAGTCATTTTTTGAAAACTGTTACATAATCAATCCTTCAGTGACTATACGTGAAAAAATATTGGAGAAATTCACACAAATACTTCTCAAAATTCACAATTTATGATAAATGCTTCCAAATTCATTAATTTACATCATTGCTCCCAAAATTGTCTCATATTTACATTGTTACTATGGTACTTTTAAAAATCATGTTTGTTACCTACATGGCTCTACTAATGTTACTTAGACAATTTAAGAGTGCCAAGTACTAACTTATAAATTTTCATTTTAAACAAGCAAATTAACATGTCCTAGTTCTCTCCCCATCCCCTTCTTTGCACATCTTTCTCTTCTTTTAACTTTCTAAGAGTGTGTTTTCTTCGTCTAACCTTTTGAATCTAATCTAATTTTTTTAAGGCTGATCTAATTTAGTCCGAGTGAATAGATTTGAATGAGTCAGATATGCTCTATTGGATCTTATCCATCTGATTGTAGTTTAATTCAAAATTTTGTTGATCTAATATGATTATATTGTCTACTCATCATTAAAAGAACAACATACATGATGATTGGGCAGCGTCGGAGTAACAATATAAATATGAGATAATTTTGGAAGTAATGATGTAAATTAATGAATTTGATTGTATTTATGTAAAAATGTGAATTTTTAGAAGTATTCGTGTGAAATTTTGCAAAATTATTTTGTCTTATTTAGTGTAAAGGACTATTTATGAAGCAATTTTCAAAAATTGAGGACCATATTAATGTAATATCTGAGAACTGGAAACTAAATTTAAAAAATACCTATAATTAGTGACCATTTATTAAGTTTACTCAATAAAAATTATTTCGTTTTGTTTTTTTGTAGAATATTGAACAACCATTTATTAACAAATAGATACATGTTCACTACAAATAAACTCTACAAAATGTCGTGTGCTGAGTAATCACAAATGAGTCCCAATAAGTACTTCATCCCTCCCGGATTAAGGGAGCGTTCCGTTCAATTTATTTTTTCTACTTATTACTTATTTTTATTATAATCAGATCAAATCATACCAGATCAAATCATGCCAGATCAGATCAGAAACAGCTTTAATTATAACTGCAATCAGATCATATCAGACTAGATCAGATCAGATCTTCAAAAAATCAGATCAAATCAGGCGAATGAAACGTAGCCTAATTATTCTATTCTTTTAGTTCCTAAAATTATTATCCTACTTTCTTACTAATATAATTAATAAAGTAAAAAATATATGGTTCATGGTCTTTCTCTTTCTTCTAAACAAAATTCAATCATTTATTTTTTATTTTTTACGAAGTAACATTTTTCTTAAACTAGGTAAGAGTTTTAATTCAATATGGATAGAGTATATTGTGGACATATATCAAAGAAAATATTTGTCCATTGACAAATATGAATGGTATAAAAATTTAGAGTGCATATACGATATTTTTGTACTCCTATACGATTGTTTGGTACCTATAAGTAACATTTTTTTGTAATTTACATAATACTCCGTACATTCTATAAATAATACTTTGTCTATTCCAAATTAATCTTCTTGTTTTCTTTTTCGAGACGTCCCAAAAAACGTTTTCTGTTTCCATTTTGAATTTTTTTTTGACTAGTAATTTTTCTTGTTCTTTTACTTCACTTTCAATAAGCCAATATCACTTTCTTAACGCCTGCGACAAACTCAATCAAGAAGATTAATTTGAGACGGAGGAGGTACGGATAACACATTTAATAATCTAGGATGCACCACTGAGAATACATGTGTCAAGGAACCAATTCAGCCATAAGCTCAAGCCTTTCCTTGTAGCCTAGGAACGAGTTTTAGATTCTAACACGCCTCTCAGGTGCAGGCATAGTCTTTTCGAGTCTTGAACGTGAAATCTTATCTTTTTTAAACTGGGTGGCGCTAAATTTCAAACTCGTGACCTTTTAGCCAATAGACTCTAATACCATATCAAAGAACCAACTCAATCATAAATTCAAGCTTGTGATTGTGACCCAAGAAAAGTTTTTATATTCTAGCAACATGAGTTGTGGAGAACTATTTTTTTCAAACAAAGGGGAAAGGGAATCCAAAAAGACGTCATGAATTGATTTCAAATGTTTTGTCTTATATCAATTTTCGAGAAGAGTGTTGTTGAAGAGAAAAAGATATGTGTAATTAATTAAAAAACGACAATATAATTTTCTCTTGATCCACGTAGAAGACCATAAGCTACCGGTTTATAACCATTTATAATAAATGAAAAATAATAGACCCATTGAACAAGAGTGTTTCTTTGTTGCACCTTGGGTGCATATTAATTTTGTGAACCTTCTCACATACTAACAAAATTATTTTTTAAAAAATAAATGTTTATTTAAATAGTAAAGAAATGCTTATTTTGCTCATATGTAAGTCCATGGTGGACCTTAGGTCCGCCATAGAATGTCATTGAACAAAAAAGATGTCTTTCTCGCCATAGCTCTTAAGTTCACAATTCTTTTAGAAAGTTACAAAAAATCCAAAAACTTCAAAAGATAGATTTCTACTCATCTCGAGAGATTCAATTATCTAAATATCCAGAAAGGTGCATACATATCCAAAAATAATAATCTAACTTTTCAACCCAAATAAATTCGGGCAAAACGAACACGCCCTAAATATAATTAGTGTGATTTTGTAATGGTGAACATAAAAATAAAAGCAAGAACAAGAAATGGCAATGGAGAAAGAAGCTAAGCAACCTAATTTAGGAAATTAAAAAAGGTCATCAATAAGGTTAGAGAGGCTAATGGCGTGGAGATGAATGAGAGAGACGTATGGGTCACATTGGATGTATAGGAACATATGTTTTTCACATGACTCTTTCAGGCTGCTATCATTCTAAAATTGCACCCCGAGATAGTGCTACAAAAGATTTGATTGTCCTTTCCAAATTAGGAATGTCCCTTTGATCAATACATTCAAGACAAATTGTATGTTACAACTGGATGTACCTTCTTCTTTGTATATCATAAAAAAATTGTCTTAAAAATATATTAAAAAATGAACATTACGTCGTTTCAAAATGAACAATATGTTGTTTCAGAATAAATACTACATTATCTCATAATGAACACTATGATGAGCAAAATTGAGAATGATCACAATAGTTAAAAATGAACAAGTTCTCCCTAAAAAATGAACATATTCAAATTGAATATTCTATTGGTTCAAAATAATTATTTACCGAGTGTACCTAACCCTATGTATAACCGAACATACGATATACAATCTCATGCATCCAGCTCATTTAATATTGTTATTATTCACTTGCATTTAGGCCCAAAACACTTAGCTCTTTCTATCCACTAAAGAAAGCCCGCGTGAGATAAGCGTTATGATGGTAGTATACATGATATGGGCCGTGAGCAAACGGACCCAAATGTGTGGCCCAATCTCGCGACATTGATGGGTAAGGTGAAGTCATTCAAAAGAGAAACTAGTCAGGATCTATCAAGAAGAACGTTTAGTTTTAGCATTTTAAAACTTAATCTACACCATTAAAAATTAATTTAAATTACTAATATTAATTCATAACATTGCAAGTATTTTAGCCATTAAAGAACTTGGGTAAGTATTTAAGCCATTCAAAGAGTTAGTAACAAAGTGCATAAACTGCATATATAGACAGAATGGTACACACTACAATAGACCTAAAAGGAGACAATCCAAACAAACAGCAAATCAGAACAAACATTTCATGACCAAAACATAATAATCGCACCATCTAACTCCCAGCAGACGGCAGTGCAGCCATGAACGAATTGTACGAAGACTCGAGATCAAAGTGCAGCTGGCGAGACTGCTGCTCGGTCAGCTCATCTGCTGCCCCCATTTTCGACAGCCTCCCCAGCCACTCTCTCATCTTGGTCTTCCCTTCAAAGTCAGGGGGCAAAATGGACAATTTGTTAAGTGAGGACGATAATTCAGAGAGCAGGGGATGGACCTGGTCAATGGCAACCATGTTCAGCTTCAGTGAGTCCATGGCTGTGATGAAGTTCTGCACACACTCAGCCACCACCGCAGCCGAAGTGGAAGCCGACATAGCTGCTGCTGCGCGATGCTCAACTGTGGCAGGTACCCCTGAAGTCACAAGCCGGTTCAGGGCTGAAGGGCAGTCCAGTTTGTAGGTATCGTGAAACCGTTCAATGCTTGGGACCATGTCCTTCAATCCTGAGGACAGTGTCTTAAACTGAGCAATCAGTTTCTGACATTCGTTTTCATAATCCGATGGGGGTATGATGTCTCGGACGTAGGCCTTCTCCAGCTTCTCTGTGGCTTTAAAAATGGCAAACAGCTCCGCAAAATTTTCATACATTTCTCTTTCGCGGTTATCATTCCATAGTTTAACCTCCATGGCTAATATATATATATACTACAGATTGAATTATTATAGAATCATAAAAGTAATAACAAATTGTTGGAGAAGGGAATGGGACACGCGCAAAGATGCCTGCTCCTTCACTGTCAAAAGGGCGAAAACAACAATTAGAATAGAGTCAAATGCAAACTTCATGTACAAACGCTATCGGACACATAACAAATATCAACAACAAGACGAAGCCTTAGTCTATTCCCTAATGTATCAAACAATGAGAAAAAAGAACTGGCTTTCCAAGAGAGGCAATCCTATGAAAACTTTCCAAATCTTTTGATATCTAGTAGAAAGAGTTACTAGTTTCAAGTAGCCTCCCCAAAATAATAATATGAACATCACAATACTGTGAAACACATAATATGCAAATTGATTTGGCTTGATCATCACAAAATGGTTATCCCTAATCAATAACAGGGTACAGTACAAGCCTAAAAGGGTTCTACTACAGATCAGGTAGACCTGGAAAACAACAAAATGTTTGTTCTATTTTAAAGCATAATCACATCCAGAATATGGTTCAGAGTTCAGACAGTGATGCTAATCTAAAATAGGAAAAGACAAGAAACTACAAACCAGATGGTAACAACTAACAAACAATCAGAACCAGAATAGATGCAATTTTCCCCCAATTCCCTCTTTTAAGGGGAAGAGGAAAAAACCCATACACACTTGTAAATATCTGTATACATATACAATTGGGCTTTTACATTTTCTTTAAAGTTACACCACTCCTGTCGCAGATCAAGAACCCTAACCTCAAACAAACAACAAGAAGCATAAAGATTTCTTTTTTATGATAAAGAAAGCATAAAAATCAACAATGTTTCAAAAGAAGTCCACAAAATCAAACGCCAAGTGTAAAACTGAAGCTGATCAATGCGATTCAACAAGGGAGAACGCAAAAGGAAAAGAAAATAACCCTAAATTCCACCAATACCCATCCAAATACGAAAGACCCAGAACGAAGAACAGAGAAATTCATGACCAGAAACGAAAGGGATCAAACATAAAAGCAGTACTGTGGGTATAACATGAAGATGAAGAAGAAGTGGAGAACAGAGATAGGAGAACCTGGCGAGGTTTATCTGTACATGGTTAAAAGCGTCGAGGAGCAGGGAATTGGCGGATCTGAGTGGAAAGTATATGTAGCAGTGGCGGGTGAGGGGGTGGGGTGGGGGTGGGGGGACGGGGGTGATGGGCAAAGGAAAAAGAACGCGGGTTTGAATAATGGAGAAGGAAGGAAGAGTGTTGCAGGTGACGAAGAGGGGTCAGGTCAGTCCAGTTGTCGTTGTGGGCCTTCAAAATTTCTGAGAGTTTGAAATCTTGTGGCTTCAAAGATCTACGGAGTACTACCTCCGTCTCACTGTCTTTGTCCACTTTTGACTTTTGGAACTGTTCATCTAACCACTTTGACTCATCAAATTCTCTCAATGTGTAAGCCTAAATATAGTCATGTGTGATCTTGTTTGATTTGTCTTAACATATAGATTATTAATATATAATTTCTATAATTTTTAATATACAAATTACAAGATAAAATGGATTAAAGAAGTGCATTGGATGGTGTGCCAAAAGGTAAGTGGACAAAGACAATGGGGCGGAGGGAGTATTTTTTATACTTTAAATATGTATCTTCTAAAAATAAATTAATACAAAGTAATATTTATTTATTTAATTGAATTTAAATGACAATAATTTATTAAATAAATAAATTACATTCAATAAAAAAATTACATTAATAAGATAAGATTTGAATAATAACAAGATAAATAAAAAATTTAAAATTACATTACATTAGGTAGAAATTAGTGATTATTCGAGCGACTAAATATATCTTCAATCAAATTCGCCGTTAGTGTATTGTAAATCTCTTGACTTCAAATTTCTTGGCGATTTTGTCGTTTCTTTTCTTCATCGATTTTTTAATACGTCGGCACCTCCCCGTCCAAGTTGTAATGACAAATGGTAAACCTGTTATCTTCTATGTTCATATTATAAAGAATCATACATGCGTGTATGATATTCCTCGTTTTCGTTTAAGAATAACACTTGGACGGACAATTTAGAATGTGTCACTTACCCTTCAACACTCTGAAGGTTTGTTGAATATCTTTTCTCACCGCCTCATTAGCTTTTTTGTAGGCCTGGCGTTTAAGACTAATTGATTCAAAGAAGGATTTGACAATCGTGGAATAATCTAGATATATTCCGTTGGCAAGATAATACCCACGTTTGTAAAGCTCCTTCTAAGTTCAAATGACGAAACAGGTGCAGTCTCATTAATCCAATCTTAAAAAAAAACGAGCGATTGATCGAGAGCGTTGATGTCGTTGTTCGAGCCCGCAACACCAAAAAAATATGCCAAAACCTTAAGTCATTAGAAGCCACAGCTTCGAGCATGATAGTAGGCTTGAGATGATAACCCCGAGAGAACTGACCATGCCACGTAGTGGCACAATTTTTTCATTTCCAATGCATGCAATGGATGCTCCCGGCAAAGTCTTGTTTAGCGGCATGTCTAGCTAGTAACTGCTCAATTTCGTTCATTGTCAGCTTACCTAATAATTCTCATAATTGAATCCCACTTTTATATGCATGCATTTGTTTCTTCCCATTCCCTCCTTTTTAAATATATATATTTCTCGCCAAACAAACAAAACCTCAGTGCATTCCTACGTTTTCACTTTTCCATGTTCACCCTTTTACCTCGTATACATTTTGAGTTTACCAAGTGTGTGGGTAAAATAAAGTCAACTGCTTGGGTGGGGGGGGAGTTAAATCTTTTTAATCTGTGTGGGTGGAATAGAGAGTAACAGCTCACAATTTTGTTTGTAGTCCATTATTATATGAAATGAAAGGCTGATAGATTGGAGCTCAGATCTGGGCAACTACTAACACACACACGTGGGGAAGGTAAAGGTAAATCAAATGACATATACACACACACACACTTCTCTGACTTGTAAGATATGGCTTACACAAGAGAGTTAATGTTGTATGACACTGTGCGGCAGAAGAGTTAAACTATTGCACCCAACTTTGATAGCCACAAAGCCCTTGACTCCGAGCTCATCTGGTCGAGAAGATAATTTTACATTGAACGTTAATCCGAGTTTAAATTCTAACAACAGCAAAACAGAAATACAGAATTGAGCGCTAAAAAAAAAGAAATACAGAATTGGAAAAATTGCTCCATATAAGATTAAAGAACTATGCTACACTTACACCAAAAATTCTACCTCAAACTTACATCAAAGGTATACATATTGTTCGCACTGACATAAAATGTTGTTGGTGCGTTAATAAAGTATACACTGACACAAAGTGTTGTTGCGTTAACAAAACTTAACATTATACCAACACAAAATGTCAAAGCTCACATGCGGTGTACAAATGAGGTACAAACCCTTGGGTACAAATATAGTCACAAAGCCCCTATTCTGACTCAAGGACGGAGCTCATCTGGTCGAGAAGATAATTTTACACTGAACGTTAATCCGAGTTCAAATCCTAACAACAGCAAAACCGAATTGAAAAAATTGCTCCATATAAGATTAAAAGGTGCTACTCTTCCCTAAATAGAACCAACTATGATTTTTTGTATATATAGGAGTTTTTTTTACTTTTAGCTTCCAACTTTACCCTTTTGGAATCATTTCCTTTATGCCGGTGAGCGTTGTGCCAGTTGGCAAGGGAAGGGGGTAAGACACGAGTTCAATTTCTGGAAACTGCGCTGGGAGGTAAATATACTAAACATAGGATCTCTACAAGTACCAGGTGCAGCTTCCACTCTTTTCCATCAATCTGCGATTAAATTTTAATTTACCTCCTCTCAGTGACCGTCTGATCGGGTCTGGGGGGCCTCGGGATGGAGCTCATCCTTTTCTTTATGCCGTTTTTCTTTCTTTTTTTTCTTTAATACTCTGTGTTTCCTTAACTTCTTTAGGAAATAATTACTCCTAAAATTTTGGGAATAACGTACTCCTATTCAGGCTTGCTTTGGTTAATTGTTACTATTTTCTTCTTTTTTCTCTTTCTTTTGCATAATTTATTTGCAAATCAAGTTATATGAAAATTAAAAGTAACATAAAAAAATAGAATTTATAAATTTGAAAACCACATAAAAATCATGCAAAAAAGATGTGACAACAATATATTATTTTATCAAATGAGTAATGAAAGTGTGCAAAAACTAATAATTAAACTTTGAACATATAATAGTAAACCAGTTTTTATTTTCTACATTCAAGCAATTAGTACAATTTGCTTTAGTAAATTCATAGGTCATTGTATAAGAAACTATTAAGTTATTTTAAGACAATGTCCTAAATGTCAATGTCTTGCATTTTCTTCATGCTCTTTAAGATTCTTATTTACCAATGTAGTGTCCTTTTTTATTATTCGTTAGTTATGGTATTATGATGCCAACGAGTGAGTAAAGTTTACAGTGACCTTTAATTTCAGATATTATTGTGTTGGAAATATGTCAAAACAATGATTTTTGTTAAGACCAAAAGAGTATTCTACCAAGAAGAAGAACAAACAGATGGTATGTAATGCCACACATGCATGCTGCTCCAACTTGCTATGAGACCAATTAAATTAAACCCCTGCCAAAAGCACTTGTCAAAATCCCAAGCATACAGCAAAATCAAAGTCCACATGCCAAGCCACAAACCCAAACCACAAGCTTTTGCCTCCATATCAAAGACTCAAAGCCTAGTCTTCACATTCAAAATCTGATCCCTTGCCAAACTATATCTTATTGAAACAAGGATCATAGTCCAGACCCAAAAACCAACCAACCAAAACATAGGTAGCAACGTCGTCTTTAGTAGCTGTTCGAACATAGCAGCAACTCGACGGCAACAATTCGGCAACTCCAATCCAAATACCCAAAAAACTGCTGCTAGGTACTCTCTATTTTAAATTAATGACTACCGGATACCTCTAGTTTTTAAAATATACTACTTCGTATGAGGTACCCTAAAATATTGAAAACTAACTAAGGGGTGATTTTTCATCCATGCCCCCGTTTGCTCGCACTATCTCCGTCATTTCATCATCATCATCATCATCATCCCCCTCTTCATAATTTCATATTTGCCCCGCATTCAACATCTTCTTTCTTTTTCTTTTTCTTCTTTTTTTTACTTTCTTCTTGTTGGGGATTCCTCCAAGTCCCACACCGGAGGGAGAAGAAAAAATGGACCAAAATATATAGGTTCACCCAACCCCATTAGTATGAGGCCTTTTGGGAGGTGCCCAAAAACAAATCCGTGAGGGCTTGGCCCAGAGCGGACAATATCATAATAATGCGGGGTTAGGGTGAGGGCACGCGCAGTCCCAACATGTGGTATCGGAGCCCAGGTTCTTGCGGGCGGGAGTAGCGGACTGTGCAGTATGAGGCCTTTTGGGAGGTGCCCAAAAACAAATCCGTGAGGGCTTGGCCCAGAGCGGACAATATCATACTAATGCGGGGTTGGGGTGAGGGCACGCGCAGTCCCAACATGTGGTATC